AATCTGAATGTTTCAGCATTAGATAATTATTTAGAATGCAATTTTGTTTGATAATTTTTTTTTTTTACAACAATATGATAGAGCATTAAAAATAAAATTTCTTTTATAGAAAATTTTTGTTGCAAAATTATACATTTCTTAATTATATGGTCACAAAGATTTGTGTAAGAAAAAATTAAATAGTGCAAAATAAAGCAAAACATTTCCATATAAAAAAAAAACGGTGAATTTTTAACGCTATATTATTCTTATGAGAAAAATTTGTAATTTTCATTTTTAAAATTATAAATTTTAATATTAAAACGTGAGAAGATGTGAGAATCCATTATTTTTTATATGCATACAAAAATTTAAAATCAAAATTATCGAACAAGATGAATTTTTTTTATAATATATATATAATTGATTTTATGAATTATTGTATTTTAGATTTTTTGCAATCTTTTATTAATTTAAAGGAAAAATAAAAAAGTATATATTATTGATTCTCATCATCTTTCTTAATAAATAATATAGTAATTCGTTAATGTAAGTATTTTTTACAATTGATATTGTTCAATGATAAATAGTTTCTAGCTTAGAGAAAATTTTCTTTGTTGAAAATGAATAAAAGTTACAATAATTGGAAATAATTTGTACTATATTTCAATTATTTATAAATCGTGTTAATTAATTATAAAGAAAATAAATTTTATCAATATAATATTATTATTATTGATATTATTTATTATATGATATTAACACTAACATTATTAAACTATTAAAATGATTAAATATTGCAATCACTTCGAAAAACGCAAAAATCCATAGTGTTTCCATCGTTCTGTCGCGAGATGTCAGTAAAGTTGAAAAGGAGAAAATAAAGGGGAAAATCGAAAACATGCCGTTGTAAATCGCAATTACATGAAAAAAAAATTTTCATTTCTATTTTCCTAACTGTCATCCATAGGATTCCATATAGATAGTTCAAGGATTTCCAAAAGTTGGAAAACAACGTCATTATCCACTCCATCCTGTCAATTGTCATTCGCACAACTATCGCCATTCCTATCCTGCATAGGATAGCTTGCGCGATACGAAACGAGCGAATACACATGCATAATACATACCGAGCCTCGTATAACGATGTCAGTTAGATTCAGACCGCATAATAAAAATCGCATTATGCAAGACTCAATCGGTTTATATCCTAAAAATATCATATAGTTATATCAAAACTCTGTACAAGTAGCGCATTATACAATATTACCTGAGTACTTTGTACATAATGATAATATAGGGTGCTCCAAAAATCTAAAAACTTTTTTATTCGAAATGTGATACAAACGATTCAAACGTAGTGTCTTTCTCAATTATGATGATCAATTAATTTTTCAAAAAAAAGATAAGAAATGAAAGAAGAAGTAATTAAATCAATTTATATATTTATAAAATAAAACTCGAGTCTTTTTCAAGATATGAAAGATATTTGTTGAGATAATTGTTTCTTTCTTAAGATAAAATTACAAAAATTGTTTCTATTTATAGACTATTTTTTTTAAATTTATGGAAAATATTTCCTAAAATTATTATTTGGCGAAGTAATTGTAATTTATTCATTTTTGTGATAGAAAATATTTTAAAAAGTTAAAAATAAAGATTTAATTGTAGTATAATGTATAAAAATTATGTATTTCAAAATTTATTTTATTTATTTATTAAATTTCTGCATTATAAAAAATTAGAAATAAATCATATTATTATATAAATATTATATTATATAAATTAGAAAAATAATAAAATAAATTCAATTAGGAATAAATAACTTTTTTATTTTTTCTAACGAATTATTCAATAAACTTATGCTTCAATTAATTTGATAATCAACGTTCTAACAAAATCTATTTCTAACAAAAAGGAGTGTTAATAATACTTGTAATTCATAATAACTATTTTTAAAAAATTTTAAATTAAAAAAATATTTATATTTCAAAAATACGTTTAAATATATCTCTTCATCATTAGAATATAATACTAAAAAACTATTATATATAAAACTAATATATATGTATACATATATTTAATTATTTCTTTATAACACTCTGTCCAGCAATTATAGTTTCTTATTATAAAAAATCACTTGTAAAAAACCCTAAAAAATAAATTAAAGTTATTGAAAAAGAATTATCGTACATGCTACTAAAAACTTTTAGAACTTGTAGTTTTAAAAAAAAAATTTTAAAAAAATGGCGCATGAAGGAGATTGTTTAAAAAAAGAAAACAAAGGAGAAGGAACTTATGGCAGGGAACATAAGCGAAGCGTGAAGAACGAAGATCAGAAAAAGGAGGAAAAGAGTAAAAAGAAAGTTTTCATGCAATTGATAGGACCGCATCCGAACTTTAAACAAGTTCGAAACTTGAATGTTCGCCATGGCACCTGTTCGGACGTCATTCGTTGTATTAAATGGTGAGACGAAGGTGTTGCGAAGTTTTACAATTTTTTAGCACGAACTTTCATGCTTCGGTTAGATGTTCTCTCTCTCTCTCTTTCTCTTCCTCATGCTCCTTCCTTCTCCTCGATAAAAATTATTTGTTTTACACGAGATTGCAAGACATAATTCGTATTTGCTACATTTAGTTTTCTGTCATAATGAAATATCTTAGCAAAAGAGTTCGATCAATCATTGGAATTAAATTTTAGAACTATAAATTATTTTTTTTTGAGATAATTAATAATACAAATTTATAATTAATAATACATTGAAGAATAGAAAATATGAGCATAAATTTATACCAATTCATTGTATTGGTATATCTAATACAATATAATCAAAAACAGATCAAAAAGGGAAATATCGTTTGTGACTTATTCATTAAATTGAAGCAATTGATTTGCTTCAAACAAGTCAGAGTAAGATATAGATGCATTGTATAGAAATTGTGTAACGTTTTAAAAAAAGAAATTAATATTTAAAATGATAATCTAATAACAGAAGATATTCATCTTTTGAAACATGAATTTTATATATAACAATAATAGTGAATATATTTTCTTCTATAAACATATACATTTCTTTAATTTCTATCTATATATCATGAATCTTATTAATAATTTGAATTTAATTGAATATACATGTTAGTAAATAAAAAGGAAATTCAACTTCCATTTATCCAACGTAAATTTCAATTATTTGTAATTATTAAATGAATATCAATCTCTAGAATTGATTTAAAAAAAAGTATACCACTTTATATAAATAAAATTATGCATTATACAAAGAAATACAATCTTTTCTTCTCTATATTTATAAAGATTCATCATGTGCTTGTCATATTATTCAGTCATATTATTCAATCATATACCTGTATGTATACATGGACTGGTTGGACATAATACAAGTTAAGTCACCAAATCTAAATACTATCTATCTATGCTTCTCAAACTTAATGATCCTAATGATGGTTCCCCAAGTTCGTGATCTGACTGCATTAAGCCTTCCTTACACCATATTGTCTCGAGCTTAATTGTCCCTTTGATATTAATCGTACCATTGTGATTTATTCGATTCGGTTTATTCCAAACCATATTCCATTACTCTGTTTGAAGTTTGCTCCACAGGTCTATCTAATCTAGAATTTGTATCTATAGTTCTATCATTTCCATTCCAATTATAAATTACATTATTAATTATGATACATTCAGAAATCTAAATAAACCTAATCCATCTTCCGTTTAAATGCTTTATCCAGAGAGTAACAAGCCCTTCTTGTCTTATCAAATTAGCCTGTTTCATGATGAAATTCTAGCATTGGCAAGTGTCAATCAACTAGCTTTGGAAAGCTATATGGATCTTGCCTTGATCTATGCTCTATTGTAGCTATGACAAAACACAAACTCGAACCTGTGTGCATTGTAGCTTCTTAGTGAAAGCTTCGTGTCAGACGATCATCTCCCCTTGTAATATCATTGCGGTAGTCACTTTGTAAAGTGAAAGACAATATATTATCTAGACGTATACTTAACCATAAAAGGATTAAGTGAATCTGAAACGTTAAAGGTATATAACATTTAATGAAATGATAAAATTCTATAAATTATTTTTATGCATGTTTTCATGTTTTTCAATCCTTTTCAACGCGTGATTCGATATATTTGTTGATGACTGTCACTGATCCAAATATTTTATTATCTACAATTTTTAAAAACACTCGAATCACTGTGTATCGCATGAATAAATAAAATTATGCATATTTGAGCTTGATCTGGATGTGTTTGTGGGTAGTTCACACATCTATCATTCTGCGGTTCATTAAAAATCGAACGGAATCCAATATTGGATCCGGTTATCTGATTCATAAATTGAAAAATATTGATAAATCGAATATAGACTACTCCATAAATATTTGTTTTATGAAATATGTATAAAATACAATTTCATACATATCTACACAATCTTATAAGAAGTATAAAATTTTTATGTTTTTCGTATTTGAATTTGTCTTAAATTTGATTTATATTTATAATCTATATTTATAACATTCTTACAAACAATTTTCTTGCATTGTTATTGCTAAATATTATTAAAGAATAAGGGCAGAAATATCAAGGCTTTCGATTCTATTGAACCAGTATCACTCTCAATTGAAAGAATGTCGTCTGGCACAGAGACCGTACAAGAAGAAGAGAAACTCTCCAACAGTGGCAGTTATCAATTTATACGAGTTCGTGGAAGGAACTTTCAAGATTTACAGTCTTGTACTTTCCAATCCGTTACATCAAATAAAATTAAGTAGTTGAAAACTTCTTTCTCTTCACTCGACACCTGAACGCATTAGATGTTCTCCTGTGAATCTCTATTCATTTATTGATGCAAAAAAAAGCAAAAAAAAGAACATCTTGTCACAGTCTTGTGCAATAGAATTTTTGCATGCCTTATATTTTGAATTCCATATCCTCTATACCAGGCTAATCTTTAATTAAATCTTTTCATCCTTCAATTGAGCAATTTGGTTGACTTTTAAAAATTTGATTAAACTTTAGATGTCTTCTTTTGAAAATTATTTATTTTTTGTTTCTAATAATTGTGGATTAGTTTAGAATTTATTTTAGATTGATGAAATTTTAATTTAATATTAATTTTCATGTTCTTAAGAATTCTTATATCATATATTTGTGAAAGGAATTAGACGTTTAAAGTCTATCAAAAATCTTCAATTAAACCTTTTTTGAAACATTCTAATAAGATTAATTACTTATTGTTAAGAAAACAAATAAATTAACCATTAATAAATTGATAAATTTATTGTTTAAAATTATCAATTGATCAGTGATTAAAAATGAAAGTTCGTATCGTTAATCTTCATAAGAAAATAAATGTGTTAATTAATTTTCCTAATTAAGTGTGTTAATCAAACATTGTAATTTCATCAATGATGGACATAAAATTTTCCATTCACGTATTATATTAATGAGTCAAAAATTGACACGCAATTACTTATTACACATTTATACAATCACAATTAATTTTAATTAACAATAACTGAAACGTGTAATGTATGACAAAATGTAAATCAATCCGGGATGAAATCAATTATATTAAATCACTTCATGATTAATTTTAATATAAAGTAATGTTAGTAATGTAAGTAAACAGGTACGATTGATGATAAATGGGGTCGAAATAATCTCCGCAATAAATATGTTAATAAATATATAGTGTGTCTCGCCTTACAATTTTGACATCTTGATTTTCTTGCAACAAAAAAATGTTTCAGATAAAAAATTTGAATAATATTGAAATGAACATGTTAATTCATAAAAAAAAAAATGAACAGACGACAATTACTTCGAATAAATTTTAAAACTATTAGAATTATTTTTCAAATTAGAATTATTTATCAAATTAATAATTTTTAGGCATAAATTTTTTTTTATTAAAATCGAGAGATTGATATATTAACAAAATATAGAATTAAAAAACCATTTAAAAAACCAAAGTTGACATTCATAAGAATTAATAATACCATAATATATATTTCCCTTCAACATTTTTCAAACTTTCATCCGAAAAATATTTCATTGTAACTAATAATATTGAGAAAATTAAAATGTCAAAATAGGACACCTTGTATAAAACGTATAACCTCCATTCCTCGACAAAAAGGGAATGCAGCTCGCTCACACGTGAGAAAGCAATTTCAAACGTGCTTCAATTTACAACCAACGTTTCCAACGTTTCTCCATTGACAAAATACGGAGGCAAACGGGTATCCCGTTAATGGCAAGAACACCACTGTAATCACTGCAATTATCCTACTTTCGAGGATAATTAATTCACACTTAACACGTCATTTGCAATCCTACATCCTCTCTGTATCGATCGCATTAATTAAACTGTATTTTAAAGCAAGAGGGACCAGCCCTTTTGTAACAAGTATCGGGAAACAATCCGGATAAAAGCGCTGTAATCGTTCCTCGCCCTCCATTTTCTTACCCAAGATGGAGGAGGATGGAAAAAGAAAACAAAAGTGCAGCCTGCTTATCCGTACACCGTTAAAACTTTGTCGAGAAACATCTCGCGGATTTGCTGGCTGCCAATCCCTGTTATCGCCATAAGTTCTCTGTTTGGCCGAGGTTCTCGGTGTGGCGCTTGTGAATTGGTTTTCTCGAACAACGCACGAGTTTGAAAATGAAATTTCGGCGATAGAAAAAAATTATGGAGTATAAGGAAGATTAGTATGAATCTTCGATATATATTCGTTAAAAATAATTAGTGGAGAAAAGTTCGTATTTTAAAATTAAATCAAACGTTTTTGAAAAAGTTAGAAAGTTTAGTTTATCGTGTGATTTAAAATAAATATTTAAAATGTTACAATCAATCGAAATTTTGTAGATTTTAGTCAGAAACAAGCGATAGATATCTAAAAATCTTTAGATTTATTACAAAATATTTAAGAAACTGTAATTTTTCGATAAAATGAAATATTATATAACTAACATAAAATGTATCTTTTAAATTTTAATTCGGATAAAAATCTTTACTATTTTCTTCTTTGATTTCGATCAATTGCAATTTCAATTTTTATACATCATATAATAAATTAAGGTTTTAATAATTTTAAAAAAAAATTCAAATCATTTGGTCCAATTTTAAAAAAGTTTAAAGTATAAATTTATACTATATTTGTTTGTTCTATACAAGAATGAATGTTCATTCGTGATATTTATTTCAAAAGTTTTATAAAAAAAATATTTTGACTAATCTAATTATAAGATTAAATTTATGCGAATATTGATATATTTCTAATATTTTAATTAAACAATGTATATATAACAAATGAATATTTATAGATTCCCACCTAATCAATATCTTTTATTTCGCAAGAATTGAAATAGGACGATGTGCAATGTAGTGGTAATCTTGCACAATTTATATTAAAGTCACGTACAGAACTTGGAAAGTACTTAAATAACCCGAAAACTTACAAGTATTTCCCATTATATAAAAGTAATTTTAAAAGAGAAAGAAGCCTGCTACATGTTCTAAAAATTTCATTAAAATCAACGATCCAAAGATATTAGATCTCTCTCTTTTTATTTGTTCTTCGAACTTCTTTCAATCACTTTGTAATTACATACTAAATGAAATTTTTAATAGCTAGCTAGCATGCTTGTAATACATTTTATAATTTTTTTTTTTTTCGTAGTATTCGTGATATAGTTATAATCTCTTGTTACAAACTGAAAAATTAATTGATGATATTTTTTAAACAAATAATACGTAATAAATATTTATATGCATATTTTTTTTAATAATAATGGTTGATAGAATATAATAGATATTTAAAAGTTATTTTTTTAAAAAGAAAGCAAGCATATACGTTTGAAACTTAACAGTTCTTTCTTTGAATGAACCCACTTCGCGTTCTATATTTCTTTGAAACAGAAGAAACCTTTTTAAATCTTGAGAACTCTTAAAAAAAATTAAAATATTCCTATAGGGAGAAAACTGCCATTATATTATAAATTATGATTTTTTAAATATATCAATTATTAAAAATAATTTTATTCATTCATTCGTCATAAAAATATTGTAAAATTATATATTATTTATTAATAATTGTTTTAACAAAATAGTATTAAAATAAATGAAAGAGATATATATTTACATATATTACATTATTAATATGAAATATAATACTATATTTAAACTAAAAAATAAATGTAATTTACAAAGTAAATATGGAAATAAAATTAAAAATTAAGATTATTAAATTTCGACAAAATTATTTTATTATTAAATCAATTTTTTATTCAATTCAAATTAATATTTATCAAATTAATATCCATTTAATTTATAGATTAAATATAGAAATATATTAAAAAATTAAACGAAATAATATAATATATAATATTATTAAATTTATTTATAAAAATAAAATTCATCAAAAATAAACAAAAATTAGAATTAAACAAATTAATTTTATTATTAAATTTAATTAGTTGTATAAATCAAATCCATTTCTTAAATTCCAAATTAATATCCATTTTAATTTCTTTACAAAACTAAATACAAAACCAAAATCAAAAATCTCAAAATTACCTAATCAATTTATAAAAATTTATAAAAAAAAGACATACAAAACTTACAACACGAAAATAATGAAATTTCTATCCCGATAAATTTCAATTCGAAATAGCATTAAAAAATCGATTCAATTTGCAAATTTATTATCAACGTGATTCGAGCAGAAAAAAATATAAAACCAAATTTATGATAAAGGAATCGACGTATGAATGCAGAATCGAGGCCCGCTTGTTATGCATAAATCGTCTAGGTGGGCGTAACCCGTGATAAAGCGATCGATGGATCTGGACACTCGATTCAGCATTTTCGATCGCGCAATGCTTTTTACCCTCCTTGCCCAGGGAATTTTCCACGTCACGGGGAAGAGGCGGTGTCCTACAAATTTCCAAGTCGCTTCATCATCGTTGCCCATCAGTCATCAAGAAAGAAACTCTTCAGTGGCGAAGCTTTGCAAAAAGTGTGGAAGAGGTAATGAGTAAAAAGAGAGAGAGGGAATGAGAGAGAGGAACGACTGATAGGAAATAGACGGGGGTAGACCTTAGGGAGAGAGAAGATAAAAAAGCCAGGAAGAACAGAGTGATTGTATTGATGAATAATTAAGTATTATGTAAGTATAGATTGGATAGAGAGGTTTTTGCTTTTCAATGATAAATTGTTGGTGTTTCTTTTGTTCGATAAACGATTAAAAGAAAATGATGTATCGGAATAGGTAATTGTTTATATCGTCAAATAATTTGGTAATCTGATTTCTTATTTCGTATAAAAAGGCATTATTATATTATTTATAGCAATTTTTCATATTATTTTTTTCATTAAAATATTTTAAAACGCACAGTTGTAATTTACATTGAAATATTAAACGAATGACATGCAATTTTGATAAACAACACTCTTAGTACTAATGTAAATCACTAATGTAATGTAATGTAATATCGAGTTTAATTATATCATTTTACATTTTGAAATTATGCATAAAAATGTCTAATTTATAATTAAAAAATTTTTTAATTTTAAACCAATCTTAAAAATTTCACGCGTAATTTAATTTTTATTTTTAACAAACTAATTCAAACTATCAAATAAATTTAAGAAAATTACTATATTCGACAACAAAAGTTTTTTAATTCGTTCGTTTATTTATTGTGAACATTATTAATATTATATATTTATATCATAAAAAAAAACTTCAAAATCTTTATCAGACTTCAAAAATATAATTTTCCACGATTTTCCACCATCAAGCAAACAATTTTTAATTTTTTTTTTTTTTCTAATATATCCGCGACGATATATTAACCCTTTCAATACATTCGAAGGGCGAGAAGATGCAGTAGGTGTGACACATTAATCAGTAGCAGCATCGACCGAGACTTGCCTCCACCGAAGGCGGAGGCCAACCAAGAAACCGACCCCTTTTCTTCGTGAATTTCAAGGGGATG